CTGTGCACGCGCTCAAAACTGTGGGCCGCTGTCATTGCCATGGTGCCCGCTGGCCAGGGCACACCCCTGGGCAGGCTGCCCGCCGCGGTGGCCCGGCTCCTGCCCGTCAGCGGGCGCACGGACGCTCCCTCACCGACTGGTGCTAAGAAGTCAGACTGCTGGCCCCGCCTGGGCTGCGTACCTGCTCTGACACGGGACTCGCACCCCACAGCTCCCGCCGGGTCCCCAGGAGACCCACCCCCCACCCCAGGCAGACCCAGCGCCCTCACGGGCCCTCCCCTCGGGCAGCCAAGCCTCCCCTCCGATGCCTGGGGTCCTGGCTGCTGGGCAGAGGCTGAGCAGCAGTGGTCTGGCCGGTCCCTTTCGCTCCCTGTGTCTGGTCCCGGCTCACAGGCCAGGGTCTCCGCAGCCCACAGCAGGGGCCTGGCTGGTGGAGGGATGGGCTGGGTGCCCCCCCCCCCCGGGAGTCACTGAGGCCAGGGGGGCAGCATTGCACTTGGGGGGCCCAGGCGCCAACAGCTGCAGGGGCACCACCCCTGTGCCACGCGGCCAGGGGTCTGCATGGCGGCCCTGGACCTGAGGCCACGTGCACTGTGTGCCATCCCCACTCCTCTTCCCAGAGGCAGCCTCGCTCCCGACCCGACCCCCAGCCTGCCTCCTCCTACCCCCCACCCCCACCCCAGCCTGCCTCCTCCTACCCCCCCACCCCCACCCCAGCCTGCCTCCTCCCCTCCTCCCCACTCCTGGGGTGGCTGGGGCTTCTGGGGACCCCGCTGAGGGCACAACCTTGTCCAGAGAATCGTGTCCCAGATCTGGGCAGAGGCAGGCTGGGCACTGCAGTCCCTCCGTCCAGCCTGCCTGCAGGGCGCTGGGCAGCCGCGGTGCCAATAGCAGCTGGAGGCTGGGGCTGCCTGGCTGGGGAGGAGGGTGTGGCTGGTCTCCAAGATATCCTCTTTTTTTTTTTTTTTAACAAAAATACTAATTTTTAGGTGGATTTTTATTTATTTATTAAATATATTTTATTGATTTTTACAGAGAGGAAGGGAGAGGGATAGAGAGTTGGAAACATCGATGAGAGAGAAACATGGATCAGCTGCCTCCTGCACACCCCCCATGGGGACGTGCCCGCAGCCCAGGTACATGCCCTGGACCGGGATCGAACCCGGGACCCCTCAGTCCGAAGGTTGACGCTCTGTCCACTGGGCACACCGGTGAGGGCTTTAGGTGGATTTTCAGAGGAGAGAGAGGGAGGGAGACTATGGATGAGATGCACTGATCGGTCGCCTCCGGTGACGGTGACGCGCCAGGACCACCCTGACAGACAGGGATGGAACCAGAAACCCAGGCATGTGCCCGGCCCGGAGCAACCCTCCCCTTCCGGCCCAGGACGGCGCTCCCACCGCCGCCACGGGCCAGGGCTGCCCCCCCTTTTTAAGTTATTATTATTATTGTGGTGGAAGACGCAGAACATAAAACGTGCCGTGCTCACCGTCTCTGCGCGCACAGCTCAGGGACAAGCACCTTCGCAGCGCTGTGCAGCCGGCACCGCCATCCTTTCTAGAACTTTCCATCTTCCCAACGAACTCCGTCCCCATTAAACACCCCCCCCCCCCCCGCCCCCGCGTCTCCTCTGTCCCGGGACCCGAGCCTCCAGGGCCCGTGGGGGCGGGATCCCGGCCTCTGCCTTCTGAGCCTGGCTCCTGTCCAGGGCATGACGTCCCGGGGCCCGTCCGCGTTCAGGGCGCGGGGAGATTCCTGCGCGACCGGCCGTTCGGCCGTTCGTCCCTCCGTCCGCCCGCTGCTGCCCCTCGGGCGAGTGAGTGACGCTGGGGGGCGCGGGGAGACGGGGACACAGGCATCCCTCCCAGACCCTGCTTTTGATTCCTTTGGGGAGACGCCGGGGGTGGGGTTGCCGAACCCCGTCACTCCGCGTTTAAATTTTGTCTGTAAACACATTTTTATTGATTTCAGAGAGGAAGCTAGAGGAGGAGAGAGAAACATCCCTGATGAGAGAATCATTGATCAGCTGCCGCCTGTGCGCCCCCCACTGGGATGGAGCCCGCAACCGGGCCTGTGCCCTCCCCTCCTGGTTCGTAGGTTGACGCTCGACCGCTGAGCCACGCTGGCCCGGCTCCATGCTTAATTTTTGAGGGGCCTCCCACTGGCTTCCCGAGGGCCCCTTTGGCGCTCGGGACAGATGCCCGCCCCTGTGTGCCCTTCGCTTCGCAATCACCCTGGGCGGGGGTGGGGGGGGTAGGTGTCTGAGAGATGGGGTGGGCCCTGGACCCCGGCTGAGGGGTCCACAGCAGGGGCCCTGCCTGTAAAAACCCACGGCTGTTTCTGGGGAGCATTAACTCTGGAACCCCCCACCCCACCGGGGCCTGCTGAGAGCCGGGGGGCGGGGGCAGGACAGACACCCCTCCTGCTCAGAGCCTCAGCTGGAGGAAGGACCCCACTCCAGCTGCTGGGGGCGGCCCAGGCAGAGGATCCAACCCCCCACACATTCCGGGTGCCAAGCCCGCCAGCCGCCAGCCCTTGCCCCCTCCCCCTCCCCCTCGCCCCCCCCCTCTCGGCCCCTCCCCCCAGCTGTGCGGCCACTCACCTTGGACGGCGTGAGCCGGGAGCCGGGGAGTTTCCCACACTTTGGCCCATTCATAGGGCTAAACGGCCCACAAAGCCGGCGTGTGCCTGGAGGCCCGAGCTGCCATCTGGCCTACACGGGGAGGGGCGGCCTTTCATCCCGGCGGGGACTTAACACCATTCATCCCGCATTTCCCACAACCGAAAATTGGATCAAAGTTGCCCTGGTCCCGGGAAGAGGGGCGGGGGGAGGGGGGCGCCCCATGGCCCTCCCTGGCCTTGGGCCAGCCACCCTGCCACTGCGGGTGGGCGCACACTTGGGCAGAGCGGGGGCTGGACCGTGACTCCTGGCACGTGTGTCTCACTCGGGCTGAGAGCTGGCTCGGAAGAGGGAGCCCGGGCAGGACACAGCCCCAGCCAACTGCCCCTCCGAAGCTGGGGGTGGGGGCCCCACCCGGGTGCAGCCTCCCCCCTTTAGGGAGAGCCCTGAGGGCCCCCCTCCCCGCCAGCAGCCAGGCAGCCAGGCCACAGGAGGCTCAGCTTGTGGAGGCTGAGGCCAGGGCCCCTGTTCCTGCACCCCCCACCCGCTCCGCCCCAGGCTCAGCACCCCCTGGGGCTGGCCCTCACCCCCAGGGACACACCCAGCACAAGCCTCACTCTGGCTGCAGAAGGGCTCCACTGGGCACCCGCAGAGCCTGCAGCACCTGCCCGCCCACACCCACGGTGCCAGCCCCTGCCGGTGCCCGGCTGTGAGCAGGGGGTGAGCATGCGGCTCGGCAGCCCATCACAGCTCACCCGGTGCCTCTGCCCTTTGGCGTCAAACCAGAGCCGATCCCTGCGGTGGGGCCCCATCTGCTCAGGAAGAGCCGCCCACAGCGAGGCCCCTCAGCGTCACCCGCCTCCCCACAGGCGCTGGAACTGGGTCCCCTTCACGAGGGGAGGTGTAGGCGGGGGGGGGGGACCAGCGACCAGAGGGTGGGTAGGGGCTGCCTCTCCTCCTCCAGAGCCACCCAAGGGCTCCACCCCCGGAACCCCCAGCCCAGCTCATCCCAGGGGCGACCAGCTGCCCGTGGGCCCCGCTGTGCTGGCTCCCGCCAAGCCGGCCCCACAGCCCTGACACCGTCTCCTGCTTCCCCGTGGGTCCTCTGGGGTCACCAAAGGCCCCTTGCGCAGCGGGGACTGGACTTCTGCTCGGAGCCCTGGTGGCTGCCAGGACCCCGGCGGGGAGGGTCTGATCGGCCCCTTGTGAGGCTCTGGAGTTCCAGCCACACTCGGGCGGCTGCCGTCCAGCTGTGCCCCTGGTTTAAAATGGGGCTACCGTGCCCGATGCTGGCCATGGCTGCCCGAGCGAGCGGAGGCCTGCCTCCCCCGGGCCCCTCCCCAGTCCCTGCGGGACAGCTGGTTCCTGGCTGTGGAGAACCTGAGGGAGGCGGTCTGGGCAGAGGGGCGCTCCTGGCAGGCCCTCTCCTAGGCCTCAGCTGGTCGGTACCAGGATGATCAGTTTTACCCGTGGGTCCGGGGTCCTGTTTGAGCTGGTACCGCCTTCGTGGGGACTCCAGGCTGCCCTGCTCTGACCCTCATGCCTGCCACCTGGCACCCCCACCCTCAAAACATCCAGGCAAAGCCAGCCCTAGCAGTGCCCGCCAGACTGTGAGCCCGGGCAGGACTCTGGCCACATGGTGTGTGTGTCGGGGGGGCACCTGTGCGTTCACAGCACCCGAGATGCCAGGGCATGATAGGCTGCTCCTGGGGCACTGGCTGGGGTAGGCTCTGTGCTGGGCACGTCACCTCCCCTGGCTCCCTGAAGCTCCCTAAAGCCAGCCAGGGACCCAGGCGGCCCATGTTCCAGGCTGGAGAAGTCCTGCGTCCCAGGTGACACCCTGGGACCTGCCACAGAGGCAGGCGTGCGGCCCTGAGTGTGGGCCCCTCTTCCACCTGTGCATGGGGGGGTGCCCCCCCCCCGGGGTCAGCAGGTCCCTGTAGGGAGGGTGCCCGCAGCCCTGGAAGCCACTGCATTTGTTCGTCAGAACGCACGTCCCTTATCTGCCAGCCAGCAGCGGGGAGTCGCTGGGGAGGGGGGAGGGGAGAGGTCGCTCCTTCCTGCGCCCGCGCCCCCCCCCCCCCCCCCCCCCCCCCCCGCCTGGGAAAAGGCAGCACATTGAGGCGCGGGCTCCCAGCATCAGGCCGGATGCTAATGAGGGCGAGCGCGTTCCCACAGCCCCGACATTGTGCCCGCGGCCCACCTGCTCCTCGGGGAGCGCATTGTGCCCGCGCCCATTCACAGGCAATCAGCGTGCGCTAATGGGCCGGCGCCTTTGTGCGGCCCGCGCGCCATTGGCCGCCGAGTGTGGGAACGGCCGCGGCGCCCGGGCCCCAGGCGCCAGCCCGCCGTGCGCGCCTATAAAGGGGTCGGTCCGCGCCGCCCGGACGCGCCTGGCCGCCCGCCGCTCCCGCTCCCCGTCCGCTCGCCGCTCTCCGCGCAGCATGGCCCCCAGCACCGCGGCCGTGGAGCTGCTGAGCCCCAAAGAGAAAAACCGAGTAAGTGCGCCGCCCGCCGGCCCCGCACTCCCCTTCCCGCGCCAAGCTTCCTGCACCGCGCGCCCCCGCCGGCCCCGAACCCCGCGCTCCCTTCCCGCGCCCCCGCGGGCCCCGAACCCCGCACTCCCCTTCCCGCGCCCCCGCCGGCCCCGAACCCCGCACTCCCTTCCCGCGCCCCCGCCGGCCCCACACCCCGCGCTCCCTTCCCGCGCCCCCGTTCCCGCGCCCCCGCCGGCCCCGAACCCCGCACTCCCTTCCCGCGCCCCCGCCGGCCCCACACCCCGCGCTCCCTTCCCGCGCCCCCGTTCCCGCGCCCTGACGCCTCCCTCCCCGCAGCTGCGGAAGCCCGTGGTGGAGAAGATGCGCCGCGACCGCATCAACAGCAGCATCGAGCAGCTGAAGCTGCTGCTGGAGCAGGAGTTCGCGCGGCACCAGCCCAACTCCAAGCTGGAGAAGGCGGACATCCTGGAGATGGCCGTGAGCTACCTGAAGCACAGCAAGGGTGAGCCGCGCCCCGCCCGCCCGCCCGCCCGCCCCGCGCCCCTCCGGCCCGCGCCCGGCGCTCACCGCCCACTGTCTCCCCGCAGCCTTCGCCGCCGCGGGCCCCAAGAGCCGGCACCAGGACTTCAGCGAGGGCTACGCGTGGTGCCTGCAGGAGGCCGTGCAGTTCCTCACGCTGCACGCGGCCGGCGACACGCAGATGAAGCTGCTCTACCACTTCCAGCGCCCGCCAGCCGCGCCCGGCGCCCCCGCCCCGGAGCCCAAGGCGGCGGCACCCCCGGCGGCCAAGGCCGGCACCGCGGCGCACCCGCCCTCCCGCGGCCTCTGGCGGCCCTGGTGACCCCGCGGGCGTGCGGGCTGCCGCCGGACCCGAGGGCCAGCCTGGCGCGCGGGGCGGAGCCGCTCCCGCCGCCGGTCCCGCCGGCTGGGCGCCCCCCTCGCTCCCTGGGCCGGGCGGCGGGTCCCTCTCGGAGAACGCGCCGCAGAGCCCGCGCGCCTGGGACGTCCGACCCCACGGGTCGTTGCGTTTGCGTTTCCGCAAGTGGCTTCTGGGAAGTCCCCGCTCGGGTTCCAGGACGTTTGTAGGCGGGACCGTCCTGCCGGCGGAGGACTTTCTCCGCGCTCGTCCTGCCGCCCCCCGCGGCACATTTGCCTTTTGTGAAGGCGGAACTCTAGGTGCGTCCTCATAGGAAGAGTGTCAGCCCCGAGGGGCGGAGGGACCGCGGCCCGGGCCGCTGCCGTGGGGCCTCGCAGTGGGCCGAGTGCGGGTCTCCACCGTGATCCTTAAAGGATCCCTGGGTGGGTGGGTGCTCGTGGGCTTGACTCTGTACTCAGAATCTGAACTCAGTCACGTGGGAGCCACGGGCCTGTTCTTCGGACTTCAATAAAATCTGGCTCTCTGGTCCTCGCTGTCCTCGTGCGTTCCTCCACGGGGGGCGGGAGGGGTAGGGACTATAATGAGTGCAACCGTGGTGGGACCCTCGGGTCACAGGAAGAAGGGCTGGGTGCTGGGAGGGAGGAGGGGAGGCAGGGAGAAGCTGGGGGGAGGAGGGGAGGCAGGGGAGGAGCTGGGGGGGGCAAGGGAGAAGCTGGGAGGCCGGGGCACACCACCCAGTGCAGGAGGAGGGGACAGGCCGGAGACCTGGACCTCTGGCCCAGCCTCTCACCAGCTCCCTGAGAGCACAGTGACAGCTCGGACCTCCCGGCTCTCCCCGAAGGCCACGGCCTGCACTGGAGCGCTTGCTGCCACGAAAGGGGTTTAGCCGGCCAAACACACAGGAAAAGATGTTTGTCCCCCCTGGCCCTTCCCGCGTGGCCTGGCCGGCAGCCCCCACCCCTGGACCGGCCCCCGGGGGCACCTGCCCTCCCTGCTGGAGGAACAGGCAGTGCAGGCAACCAGGGGGTTGACGAGTCTGCAGGAATCTAGAGGCTCCTGAATTGCCAAGGGGCATATCCACGCTGTGGGGATGAGCTGGCTGTGGGACCAGAGGCATTATTTTCACAGATGCGGGGCCCAGCCCGGCCCCCCTCCTTCCTGCTCAGCACTTCCCTCCCCACCGTCGTCCATCCCTTTCCATCTACTCTGCAGGGAATGTCCAATGGCGCCCCCTCCCGGCCAGCCCAGTGCCTGCAGGTAGTCTCTGGGGTCCCTTGCTCAGGCCTTGGGAGAGCGAGCCAGGAACAGGGAGCCGCCTCCTCCACTTGAAGCATTTACTGCAGGCACCCCCCTGCCCAGGCTCCTGGATGCCTGAGAGCCTCTTGGGAGCAGACCCCTGCACCCTTCCACCCAGGCCTCCCCACCTAGAGCCGCACCCCCACCCCCAGGAGGACACCTGCCAGGCTGCCTCCCACCTGATGCCCGATGTCCGGCACGGCCCCTCCTGTGAATCAGCCTGGAGCTCGCTGCTCCGCAGGCCTGGGCTCCGTCCGGCCGCCCTGCCAGGCATCGGGCATGCTAGGAGGTGGCTGAGGCCCCGAGAAATGAAGTTACCAGCCTAGGGTCACTTCACTTGGTAGGCGGGCGCCAAAGCCACTTAGGGGCCCCCAACGCTGCTCCCAACGCTGAGCTCTTTCCCAAAGCACCCCAGCGTCTCTGCAGGGGACACATCTGTGCCGGTCCCCGAGCTACCCCACCTGTGCTCCTGTCCCGGCTTTGGGAGCTTTCTCGGCTTGTCCCTTGCAAACGCCCATTGGTTTCCCTCTGGGCGGAGGGCAGCCTCCTCCAGGCAGGCTCCCGGGCGCTCTCTGCGGGTGGGGCCATCAGAGCACACAGCCCCCCCAGTTGTGAGCCCTTCACTCTCTGGCTCACAGGCCGGCATGTCTGTCTGCTCTGACCTCGAGGGCAGGGTCCCCAGGACCCGTCCGGCGTGTAGCCCCCATAGCCCAGCATCCCTGGAGGCCCAGGCGACGGGTCACAGGCGCCTTCCCGCGCCGGTGCCAGGCTTTCAGCCCCACTGGCGGGGAGCCAGGTCTCCGGGGGCCTGCAAGGCCCAGCGCCCCGCTGCCCTGGCTCGGAGCCCCGAGGCCAGCAGACAGCAGTGCAGAGGTTATGTGTGGGGCTCCCTTCCGGCCCGGGCCTCTGGGACCCCTGCCCGGGCCGCCCGGAGTCAGTCCTCCAGCGGCCCAGACCACAGAGGCGAGCCGGCCGGGGGCCGGCCCGGCGCCTCATTAGCATAATCTATGCGCGGGAGGCGTTTAGCAGTCAAATATATGCGCATATATCTCCATGGCTGATGAGGCTGGCCGGGCACATTCAAAATGGCGGAGTGTGGAGCGAGCGGCAGCGGGAGCAGCGGGGACGGCCTGGACAAGAGCATCACGCTGCCCCCCGACGAGATCTTCCGCAATCTGGAGAACGCCAAGCGCTTCGCCATAGACATCGGTAGCCGCGGGCGGGCGCGGGGAGCCGGGCGGCGCGCAGCGGGCGTGGGCGCGGGCGGCGGGGTTGGCGGGCCGGGGGCGGTGGCAAGGACGAAGGGCGGGGCGCGGGCCGTGGGCGCGCAAGGTCTGCCGGGCCTCGTAGTCAGCGGGCTGCCGGCGCGCACGGCTTGACGGTTCTTGTAGTCAGCGGGCCGCCGGTGCGTGCACGCTCGTCGCGAAGGCCGCACTACAGCTCCCGGCAGGCTCCGCGCGGCAGGAGCGGGACATGCCGGGCCTTGTAGTCCGGCCTGGGGAGGGTCAGCAGCGCGGTGGGGCCTCTTCGGCCGCCTGGGGTGGCTGTCCCGGCCCGCGGCGGGTCGGAAGCCTGATGTCTGGGCTGGGATGTGGACGGGCGGGAGCCCCAGCTTTGGCCACGGGAAGCCTTGACGGCCGCCCGGAGCCCAAACCTGCAGGCCCTGATCTCAGCCGGTGGCCGTTTGGCGGGAGTTTCGATGACCTGGACGTGGGAGCTCGGAACCTCTGCCGGCCTCTGGCCAGAGCCTCCGAGTCCCCCGCGGGCTGCAGGGGAGCCCCAGGCCCGCACTCGCCCCCGCCTCTCCCAGGCCCTGCCCCGCTCCCTGCACCAGGCCCCGTGCTCCCTCCCAGCAACCCGCTGTCACTGGACACTAAGCGGGGAGGTCACCTCGCTGGTAGGCAGCCAGCCCTCGGCCTGCCAGGCTGCTGCTCTGCCCACGTATCAGGACAAAGAGCTTCTGGGGGCAGCTTCCCCGGGTCAGGCCCGGTGTGGAGGGCACAGTGGCTCCGCACCTCCCGCTGGGCGAGATCTGGGCAGCCGCCTGAGTTTGTCTGTGGTTGTCCACCTCCGAGCGCGAGCGCGCAGTGTCCGCCGCCCCCCAGCACCCGCACCTGCCCTACGGTTGCCGCTCAGTAGGAGCTGGACTGGACCTTTTCTCCCAGAGAGGCTGGGCCACTGGGTGGGCCTTTGCATTTACTGCGTCCCCACCGCCCTGCTCTTGGAGCTCAGCTGGGTCACGGGCCTGGGGCGGCGGTCCTCCAGGGGAGTGGGGAGTGGAAACGTGGGGAGGGCCGGAGCCCCCACCTTGCACACCAGGCTGGGCTTCCCAGGGGCTGGGGGGCTGGGCGGAGGCAGGTGTGAGATGGCTGGAGGCCAGGTGGGTGATGGGGTGGCTAGCGCAGACCAGAACTCGGTGCCCACCTGCATGGGGGGCTGGAGATGCGGCTGGAAGCCCAGCCCAGGGGGTCGTCCACCATCAGGCCTCCAGGGCCCAGTCAGCCCCTCAGGGGAGTGCTGCCCACCCTGGGAGTGGCCGTGGTCCGGACAGGCGGGAGCTCTGAGGTTCTGACTTTGCCTCCCTTGGAGGGGGGGGGCGCGGGGGGGGGGGGGGGGGGACGCTTCTGCTCTGAGGGAACGAGTCAGCCCTTCCCGTTTCTGCAAATGGACTTGCCACGGGGGCTCACTGTGGACCTCCCAGCTGGTGGCCCTGGGAGGAGGAATTGCTCAGGGCCAGCCCGTGGGCTCCTTGGCGGAGGACCTCGGGATGTGCTTAGGGCCGTGGGCATGTCCTCTCCGGGGCGCTGGTGCCGTGCTCCTCGTCAGCAAGGACAGACCTCGTGTTGGTCAGTGCAGCACAGGCCGGTCCTCGGCCCGGAGCCCCTGCCCGCGTGTGACCAGTTGGCTCACAGACCGGCTTGTCTGTCTGCTCTGCCCTCGCTGAGCCCCCGCCAGGAAAGCTCCGGGCTCTGCTCCGGCCGGCCCTCCCTGGGCACCCGGGTCAGCAGGCAGGTCTCCTGTGAGAGCACCAGCACGTTTCACCTGTCGCCACACAGGGGTGAGGTGGCCGGGCCCGCGGGGCGGCCTGTGTGCGGTGTGCAGCCCCCGGGGCCCCAGCCAGGACAGGTCAGGGGCAGGGAGGACAGTGGTGCCCGGCCCGCAGGCTGGTGAACGGAAGTCCTCTCCATCCGTGTGGAATGATGGTCGGTGTGACGGCCCCGGCAGGGTTGGCATTCGCTCTAATTGTGGGGAATCCTGGGCTCAGCTGAGCTGCTCCCTGAAGGCTCTGAGTGCCCTTGCTCCAGACTGACAGCCTGCACTCCCCACTTGCGCCCTGGCCCCCTCTGTTCTCTCCTGGGGGGGAGCAGAGGCAGTCCCAGCAGCGCCAGAGGCCCGTCGTGGCGGCCGGGACGGGGCAGGCGGCGTGAGCTTTGGACCGGGAAGAGCTGCCGGCTCGCAGGCCTGCCTTGCTTTCGTTGCCCCATAAGAACCCTCTGCCTCAGAGGCCTTTCATGGCTCCGGGGGGCCACTCCCCTCCTGTCTGCCCTCCACAAGCGGCCGAGGCTGGGGCGGCAGGACCTGGGCCTCCCTGTGCCACCCATCTGCCCTGAGCGCTCCCCAGGGCACAGCCTCGAAACCGGTGCCTCGGGCCCTTCCCACCTGCCCTGACTGTGTGTCAGGCAAACGCAGGCCGCTCCTGCTTCCTGAGACTTGGTCTCTGGTCATGTCGCCAGGGCCTGGCCGTGGGGACAGGACCTTGCTGCCCTCGGTGGCCTCCCGTGGTCACTCTGGGCCTCAGGCCGCCCCAGCCCGAGCCAGTGGGGGGCAGGACGCTGCTCTCTGGCCCCAGGCCTCGGGCATTCCTGGCGAGAGCCCCCTGCTGCTGGGACGACTCCTTTCGCCTCCTTCCCCACTGTCTCCACGGCAGCCACGCGTGTGCTGTTCGGTGGAAACGTTGGGTTTGCCAGCTCCTTTCTTTGGGGCACTGTCCAGATCAGAGCTCGAAGCGGCTAATAAGCAACAAGGTTGCCCAGAAATGGGGCAGCTTCCTTCCCCGGGGCCCGGTGCGGGGGAGCTAGGGGCAGCGCCCGCCGGGCTGGCCGGGCCCGGGAGGAGCAGAGGTGGGTCCTGGGGCCCATCCTCGGTGTGGTGCCCGCAGGGCCTTCCAGCTCAAGTGGCAGCAGACGCCTGTGCCCACAACCCACGTCCGGGAAGGA